CCCCAAAACCCCAAAACCCCAAAACCCCTCTGATCAATATTTAGAATGAATGTTAGCCATTGATAATTAATTGAAATGGAGTCAGAAGACATTCCAAGAGTTCTTATAACAGGTGTAACAGGTTTCCTAGGATCCTGGGTGCTCAAAACATTCCTTGAATGTGACACTGAATTCCAAATAAGAGCTACAGTCAGAGATCCCACAAATGAAGCAAAAATTGGACCTTTAAGAGAATCTTTAGGCGAAAAATTTGATAATGTTGAATTAGTTCAAGCTGATTTGACAGATGCAGCTTCACTTGAGCAAGCGATAGAGGGATGCGATTATGTGGTGCACACAGCTTCTCCATTCCCAGCTAAACCTCCTAAACGGGAGGAAGAAATCATTAAGCCAGCAGTAGAAGGAACGAAAGCTGTTTTGGAAGCTTGCAGAAATCATAATGTGAAAAGATTAGTCGTGACATCATCGATTGTAGCTATTATAGACTACAAAAGAGATATGAATGGAACAGTATGCACTGAAGAAGATTGGCTTGAAGACTTCAGTAAATACAAATTCTGCTTAGTCTAACATCCTATTTAGAATCATCCACAGCGTATCCAAAGAGTAAAACTTTGGCAGAGAAAGCAGTTTGGGAGTTTACTGAATCATTACCTGAAGAAGTAAAATTTGATGCAGTTACTATCAATCCAGGATTTATTCTTGGACCAATTCTCGGTATTTTCAGCTTAACCTTCTAGTCAAAAGTCCATTCTCATCGGCAGACGTTCTCTCAAAGATCATGAGAGGAAAATATCCTGGGCTCCCAAACATTTATGTCCCAATGGTTGATGTGAGAGATGTTGCAGAAGCCCATCTCAGAGCAATAACATTAAATCCTCCTGCTGGAAGATACCTTGTCACTGAAAGTACTGTGAAATCTCAGGTTTTAGCTTAAATCTGGTTTGATTTAATTTGTGTCACAATATTATTCCTAATTAACCAAAATTATGCATAGGCACATACCAATTCACGTTCTTAGGACAAACTCTTGCTGATGAATTTGGTCAGTATGGATATAAGCCAAACAGAAAAATGCTAAAGTATTGCTTTGCTAAATTTGGCTCTTTCTTCATCTCTGAAGTAAAGACAATCCTATCTCAGTGGGGAAAGAACGTAAGCACTAGTAATGCAAAGGTATTCTTTTCTTGACTCTTCAGGCTATCGAGCACTTGAATATGGAGTTCAGAGATACAAAACAGACAGTCATCGACATGGGATACTCCCTCATAGACCAGGTAATACTAGTGTAACACCTTCTGTAGGGATATGTACCTGATAAAAGAAAGTAACTAGCATGTGTACAGATTTGATAGTAAACTTTCAATATTAATACTAGCATAAGGGGTTTTGGGGTTTTGGGGTTTTGGGGG